AAAATAAATGGAAAACATAAAATTATGGGAGGCTACTCAAGGCTGAACACAGTCTGCTAGCAGAGGTGGGTCTCTGGAGACGTTCAGTCTTTGCCTGATCTAATTAGTCAGAAACAACATCTGACATTGTCCTACACTAGAGATTGGGATGCATAGCAGATCTACCTAATACATAGTCAAAGCTGGGGTGGCAATACTCATCTGACAAAATACACTTCAAAATGAAGGCCATCACAAGAGATAATAAAGGTCACTACATAATACTAAACAGATCAATCCAACAAGAGAATATAACCCTGGTAAATATATATGTACCCAATATAGGAGCACCTAAATATATAAAAAACTTCTAGAGGGCTTTAAGGGAGATCGACAATAATACATAATAAAAGCCATATATGACAAACCTACAGTGAATTTCATACTCAATGGGCAAAAACTAAAACCATTTCCCTAAAAAACAAGACAGGATGTCCCCTTTCACCACTCTTATGAACACAGTACTCGAAGTCCTAGCCATAGCAATCAAACAAGAAGAAATAAAAGCCATCCAAATTGAAAAGAAGGAAGTAAAGATCTCATTATTTGCAGATGACATGATATTGTACATAGAAAATCCTACGACTCCACTAAAAAGCTACTAGATTTAATAAATGAATTTGACAATATAGCAGGATACAAAATTAACACCCAAAAATTGATGGCTTTTTTATACACCACTAATGAGAAACTCAACAAACAATTCTACTTACCATTGCAACAAAAAAATTAAGACAGTTAGGAATAAACTTAACCAAGGAAGTTAAACTTGTATTTGGAAAACTACACGAGGTTGAAAAAAGAGGTAGAGGACAATATAAACACATGGGAGAATATACCATGTTCACGGATTGGTAGAATTAACATCATTAATGTTCATACTGCCCAAGGCAATCTACAGATTCAATGCAATCCTTATTAAAATACCAACAGCATATTTCTCAGATCTATAACAAATATTCCAAAAATTTACATGGAACCAAAAAAGACACCAAATAGCCATGGGGAGTGGGGACAGGATAGAAGGGGAGAATGGGGGAAAGAGAGGGGACATATGTAATACTTTCAACAATAAAGAAACATAAAACTATGAAGCACTTTAAAAGAAAACTTAGGGCTCTGCACAGCATGGGTTTGTTGGTTGGAGCATAATCCCATGCACCAGAAGGTCGTGGGTTTGATTCACAGTCAAGGGCACATACCTAAGTTGCAGGTTCAATTCCTGGTTAGGACGTGTTTAGGAGGCAATTGATAAATGTGTCTTTCTCATATTGATGTTTTCCTTCTCTCTCTCTCTCTCCCTTCCTTCCTTCCTTCCTTCCTCCCTCCCTTTCTCTCTCTCTCTCTCTCTCTCTCTCTCTCTCTCTCTCTCTCTCTCTCTCTCTCTTCCCCCCTCTCTCTTTTTGGTTAAATATATTTTTATTGATTTCAGAGAGGAAGGGAGAGGGGAGAGAGAAATAGAACCATCAATGATGAACCTCCTTGCATGCCCCCTACTAGGGATTGAGCTTGCAACCCGAGCATGTGCCCTTGACTGGAATGGAACCTGGGACCTTTTAGTCTGCAGGCCAACACTATCCACTGAGCCAAACCAGCGAGGATCTTCCTCCCTCTCTTAAAAAAACAAAAAAAAAACCACACAAACCTAGTGTGGCTCAGTTGTTTGCCATACTGTGCACTGAAAGGTGCCCGTTCAATTCCGATCAAAGCACATGCCCAGGTTTCAGGTTCAATCCCTGGTCAGGGTACATACGGAATGTAATCATTGATGTTCTCTCTCACAACGATGTTTATATCTCTCTCTCCCCTCTCTAAAATAAAAACATTTAAAAAAAGAAAAAACTTAGAAGGAAATATTTGTAACATTGGGTTTGGCATAAATTTCTTAGATACCATAAATTTCTTGTAACCCCAAATCACAATCTATTAAAGACTGATAACTTGGACTTCATCAAAATGAAGAACTTGTATTCTTCAAAAAACACTGACAGGAGCATAAAGAGACAAGCCACAATTTTAGAGAAAATATTTGCAAATGGCACATCTTATAAAATGCTTATACCCAGAATATGTAAACCAGAGGGAAAACAATTCAAAAAAGATGTGCAATTTGGTACTATGTTTGGGTAAAAGGAGTGAGGCAAGGAGGGCAGGAGAGGGAAGCCATGCAAACCAAGTTCTTCCTCATTTAGGAAATACCTAACTCCTTACTCAATTTCAAAACATTTTAAGTCTCTCTCTCTCCTGCAGGGACTAGCTGTTAATACTTCAGGTAGCTTACTTATGTCCATTTACTCAGTGACTCCCGAGGGAATGTCACCATATAAGCTCAGTCTTTCCCCAGACCTTAGTAGTAAAACAAACTACCCATCTCAGCAACCAAGACTTCATCCTTACTAATTCCAAAGATTGTTCTTGCTCAGAGAACTCTATAGGGAAAGCCCAGCTTTATCTGTAGTTACAAATGCCGAAGCATGCTGACTGAATATCTATGGACCCTGATGGCTGACTACTTCTGAATTACGTTTAGTGTGTCTGTCCACATTTGAGAAGTCAATCAGAGATTTTTCCCTCAACCATACACGTAAGGTACTGCCTGGCTTGAAATGGCCTGAGTCACCAAATTCAGACAGGCAGCCTCTCTGGCAGAGTGGACCCATACACTACGTGGGGGCTAAGTTAATGGCTTGGTTTCTGTTCATTCTGATCCTTTTGACTTTAATTAACCACTTCCCTTCCGGACCCTCAAGATTTTCTGAAGCCAGAGGTTTGTCACAGACTTCTAACAGAAAGTTAAAGGGTCAAAGGAACCAACCATTTCTAGCCCCAAGATTTCCGACTTGTTCAATAACACAGACATCTCTCCCATAATTGCCTCCAAGAGGGGAGTGCCAGCTACTCTTAACACCCCACCTCACCATTTTATAAAAGTTTGGATTTAGAAAAGCAAGACAGGGAGACATCAAGGTCAAAGGCAACTAACAAGACACTGGACTGCTCTGGTACTAGGAGAAGGCAGAGCACTCACCCTCTGGTTCCCAGGGGCCCTCACTTACCATAATCACAGGTGGGCTGAACACTGGTGTCTGAGAACGTTGACTGCAAAGTGGTTTCAGATCCCTGGACAAAGCCTAAACATATGCACAGCATGGTTAATTTCCCCAAACAAGCCATTTGACAATGACCTAAAAACTACCATTTAGTATAGACTGGTAGGCCTGACCCTCATTGGAAAGCATAAACTGTAGCTTCTGAACACTTTAATTATACCCCAGAACATATTAACCAATGGAAAGGCAGGCTATGTTTAACTTGCTACACCAAAAGAATTGGATAAAAATTTTCAAATACTTTAAACCAGTAACTCAAATGAGTACCCAAATTACCATTCAGCTAAATGAGAAAAATACTTGAATCAAACATCTAACCACAGCCCTGGCCAGCTTGGCTCAGTTGGATAGAGCGTCAGCCTGTGGACTGAAGGGTCTCAGGTTCAATTCCAGCCAAGGGCACATGCCTAGGTTGTGGGTTCGATCCCCAGTGGGGGCATGCAGGAGGCAGCCGACCAATGATTCTCTCTAATCTTTGACGTTTCTCTCTCCCCCTCTCCCTTCCTCTCTGAAATCAATAAAGAAATATATTTTAAAAAGAAACAAAAAAATTCTAACCACTGATTATTGCAGGTGAACCACCTTCAATTCAAACAAGGACAGCGTTATTTTTAAACAACACTTAGACAAATAATACCCCTCTCCTTCCCCCAAATCTAAAACCAAAACTGTTTTGTATTTTTAGTTTTCTAATAAAAATGTACATGTTACAATTACCTCTTAAATGTAATTACTTGGGTTATAACATGTTTACATGGAACAAATATTACATATAATATACATATTATTTCCTATTTTCTCAACTCTCAAATTATTTCACACCTTAAAATAAATTAGTACCAAGCAAGGAAAACTTTAATATCCACCAGAAATACTGCTCTTAAATGCTTATTGTAACAGACTATGATGAGTCCTAATACTATCTTTAAAACCAGGTTGAAAAAATGTTTTAATGATTTACCCATAGCACTGAAATTATGACAGATACCATAAGAGGCAACATTTGCCTACTCCCATCAGAGCCAACTCATGACCTAAAAATAAAAACCAGCACCCCGATAACAAAAGCATACATTAAGTGCCCTTCTGGGGTGAGCATTCACATTATTTGTTGATGGTTTCTCTTAAAGTTCATCTCTTAAAGACCCCAGCAACAAAGATAACAGCAATAGCAGCAAGTATTTTACCCTAAGGGTGCTAAGAGCTTTCCCTGCATTATTTCATTTTGTCCTCACCACAGCCAACAAAAGAGACAGGCCAAGATCCCTTACCCTGCAATCCCACAATCCAAAAAGGTCTGCAAACCAAGTGTTCTCCTCAAATGGGGTACAACACTCACTTGGGGAAAAAATGACCTGTGAGGGCAGTTATGGTCTTTCTTTACCCCACTTGGCACAGAAATAATGCATTTAATTACTTGGTGCCCACATCCTGGTGGAGGTTGTGGAATGTCCTCTCAAGCTAGAATTTTGCAAAAATGACTGAATATGACTTCTGAGACCTAGGTCTTGTTCGCCCGTAGATCATTCACTCAAGGGAAAACTAGCCACCATGTTGTGGGGACTCTTTAGTAGGATTGAGGAGAGGTCCACCTGGTGAGGAACCAATAGTCAGCATCAACCTAATCAGCCACGAGAGTTTAAGTCGCCCTGGAGGTGAGTCCTTCAGCACCAGTCAGGCCTTGAGATGACTGCAGTCCAGGCTACCATAAAAAATGTAACCTCATGAGAGATCCCAAGCCAGAACCATCCGGCTAAGCTATCTGTGTATTCCTCACACACAGTAACTGTGAGATAATAAAGGTTCCTATTAAAAATGTGGTATCATTGAAGACCTGATGCTGGATGTTTTTACCCAATGTTTCCATTACTTCCATCTTTCCTCTCAGTGCCAGAGATGAAGACTCCTTTCCCAAGCACACATAAACTAAGTTCAAAAGCTGGACCAGTTATCAGAAAGATAAATTATTTTAATCACATTCTTTAAGTAAGAGGGGTAACATTTGCTTAAGCCTCCAGAACTTCTCCTTAAGGGCAAAACAGTTGTCTGAGATAGGATTAAAATGCCTTTGACTTTAGTGGCCAGCTTTTTAAAAGTGAAAAACAAAGCTCTTGTGGTTTTCAGCTGATCAAGACCAAGGAAAAATTAATAATCGTGTCATTAGCTTCACTAGCTCAGTACCCACTCCAACAGAATTAGAGCCCACAAGATCTGGAGTTAAAATTCAGATGTGGCCATTAGTGACCTCTCCAGCGCAGTGTCCTCGTCTACAAATATAAATGCTCCGTTTTTAAGTTCCCCACAGCACCTAATCACTCATGTTCTGGTTTCTTCAGCTTGCCCCTAACCACCGCAGAACTGTCTTCCAGGTCACACTAAGATTGGGTGGAAAAGATTACAGTGATGTCTGTAACAACCCTACGACTTTCCTCCTGAGCCAGGTAAGCTACGGAAATGCTAGGACAGGGTCGCCCCATCCTGGCATCACTGATTTCCAAGCCAGATGATGCTCTGTGGTGGGGGCCCATCTTGTGTACTGCACAACGTTTAGCGGCATTCCTGGTCTCTATACACTGGATGACAGTAGCACCCCGTTCCACCAGACGAGACAACCAAAAGTATCTCCAGATATTGCCAAATGTCCCCTGGGGGGGGGGGGGGTAGAATCAGCCCTGGTTGAAAACCACTGGGCCAAGGGATGACTGCTTGGGGTTCTTGCCAAACTCATGACCTGGGAGCCAGAGGAGGGAGGCCTTGGCCACGCCTCCTTGCCAGGCCAGCATAAAGCAGCCTACAGAGGAGCCCTAGAGGCTCAGGTTCCATTCTTAGTCCCCAACATTCCACGGGAGAATGCTGGTTACCAGGCAACCACACATGCTCAGCCTAATACTCCCCTCAAAGGGGGAGGCCTGGTCCATGGCTCCTGGTTGAGCAGCCTCAGTGATTACTACCAAGACAAACCCAGCTGTTCAATTCATCCGCGGATGGTTTACAATTGCCATGCAAGCATATCACAGCCCCCCCCCCTCCATCCCCCCGTCGGATCTCATCATCCATCCTCCCCTTTGCTCAAGCCCCACTGGCCTCTCCCTGGCAGAGCTTCTAAGGAGCCAAGCAGCAACTAGCCCCTGGGTCAGATATTCTTAATTCCCGTACTCTCTTCTGGCCTCTGCTCAAATGTCACCTCTTTAGCTGTCTCCAACCACCCCACATAAATAGAACAACTCCCTCAGCATGCTGACCATCCCCGAATACAGTCCATGTTCATTTGTTTGCTTGTTGTGGTCTGCCCCGCCCGATAACTGCTGGAGGAATTCTTGCCGTGTTCCAGTTGCCTATTCAGCACCTGACACGATTAATCTGACAGATGGCGAATGAATTACCCTGGAAAGGAGCCATACCAGGCAAGGCTCAGGCCTCAGGACCCAAGGCACCCTGCTCAGTCCAAACCTTCCAAACATCTACTGCTCGCCCCGGGCCCGGAGCCTCTCCCAGCCCGGGGCTGTTAAGGGGCAAGAGGAGCTGCGACATCTTTCAGGGACACTGAACATGGGGGGTTGGGGGGCCGTAGGCAATGGCGACGGCAGCCGAGCCCGCTGACGGATCAGAAGGGCCGAAACCTGGGAAAGGGCGACCTGAGACTACGAGGTCCGGAAAGTCCAGGCTAGCGGCGGAGGCGGTGGGAGAAAAGGCCTCGGGCCCCGAGGCCGGAGCCCGCAGTCACAGGCGACGGAAGCCAAAATCTCAGGCGACCGAGAGCCAGAGCGCGAAGGTGCAAGCACAGAGCCCCGAGGAGCCGAAGCCTGAGGGGCGCGAACCTGAGAGGACCCGTCCGTCCGCGGCGCCATTTTGTGGCCGCAGAGAGAGCAGTATCCCGGCCCCGGGGGAGGCGCGGGCGAGCCTGGCGCGGCCTTGGCACGTCCTCGTCCCTACCCACCCGGGCCTGACTCCCGGCCCTGCCGGCTCACCTGTGTAGCTCATGGCAGCGGCGTACACTGTGCCTGAGGACGCCGCCGGATGCCCCGCACGTCAGACGCGGAGATTGCCGTGACAATCCCCCGGGCTCTTTCTACGTATAACGGAGCCCCGCCTCCCGACCGCATTGGTTCACGCCCAGCTCTGACCTCACGTCTATTAGGCCACGAAGCTGTCTCTCTCAGGACAGCCTCATACTAATGGCTGAGGCTATTGTCAATCTCACGAGAGCCCCGCCCTACTCCCGCCTTTCGTTTATTTCCAGCCTGAGGTGATTGGTTAAAAATAACGTGTAGAGTTCGGAGGGGCGGAGCTATGTGCTACGGAAAGCCCCGAGGCTCAAGTGCGGCCGGGTGGGCGGAGGGTCTGTGACCTGGAGGCCCGCCAGAGGGAGCTGGGTCTACAGCGAAGGGCACCGCTGGAATTGCGGTTCTCCCACGGGGGTGCGGGGCCAACGTGGACTGTTTCTAACATCTCTGGCCTTCAGCTCCAGATGAGCGCGGTAAAGCCATATTGGAATGAAAATTACAACTAAGCGCCAAACAAGATGCTGGGCACAGGTTCAAACATGTGAGGTAATATATATATAAAGCAATCACTCCAGTGCTGGGTGTACTAATTGTTACGTTTTGTTATCACGGTTACATAAAAATAACAAACATATTTATATAGCATGTTTATATTATATATGTAATAAATGTAATTTATTATCTGGGATGTTTCCTCACACCTGCAAAGACCTTGTTTTTTGAATTCTGTTAAAGGACACGAAAACAGACTTGGAATTCATGACTTGCTCAAAGTCCTTGATGCTTGTGTTAAAGCTGGAATGACCCACTAAAATCTTCTTGGTCTTTCTGGACTTCAGAGATCCTGCAGTGGCCCAGCCAGGTTCCAGCCCTGACCTCAGCACCCTGTATGGATATGTGCAATCCAGTGTCATAATTTCTCAGACACTTAAAATGATACTTGTGAAAATTCATCAAGCTACACAATTGACTTGTACACTTTTACGCCATAATTCGGATGGGGATAAGGGGGTGAAGAGTTTATAACTGAAGAGATTGGTCATGAGTTGATCGATGAGTAGATAGAGCTCACTGTAGGGTTGGAATTCATAAAATTTTAGTGAAACAACTCCTTCCCACACACACACAAATGGGGCTTCTGCAGAACTTGCTGTCCTGTGGGGCAACAAACTCCTTGTGTAAAGCGTGTAAAGCTCTGGTCAATGTGCTTCCAGCTTTGGGACTTGGCTTATTTGTGTCACCCTCAGGGATACCCGCCTGGCTGTTCTCCAAAGCAGTGCCCTGGACACTCCTTTCATAGCACCTACCACAGCCATCATTTTAGCCTCATGTGCGGATTCTGTTAATAAATTCAACCCTCTACCTCAGAGTGAGTCAAAATGACTTAAGGGATGTGCTCAGATGTTTTAGGAAAAGATCCCTCTGTGGTAAGAACTATATGTGACCCATTCAAGGACTCACACAGCTATCACTACACAACTGTGGGTGAGAAAGGTCATCCCATATTACTTTGTAAGTTCTTTCATCATTCGAACTTTTTTATATTCAACTTGTGTCACTTTTATACTTTTTAAACTAATTTGTAAAAAAAAAAATTTAAAATTGCCTTTAGGTGAGCTCTCAGCCGAGAGATATCCTCTTCCTGTTTTCAAAGCCTCAGATACTCCCCCCACAGCTCGGGATACACAGCAGTGGTGGAAACCTTTCTCCACCAGGCAAGACGTGTGTCCTGACCTCCCACAAGCAGAAATGTCAAGCATGAAGGACAAGACCACTCCTGTGGGTACGTTGTCATAGCTACTTTGCCCCTTTCCCAGCCAGGTACATGGTGGGGGCTGGGTAAAAGGGTTGGGGGCTGAAGAGGCTTCTTCTGTTTATACCCCATGAGGTCATTTCCCGCTTTCCAGCCCTTGGCCGCGAGTGAAAACGATGAGCTGAAAAACCACATGCAATAAACAAGAAGGAGCAGCCAACAAAATCTCTTAAAATCTCAGAAATGTTCAATAAACATTTGCAGAGTGAGAAAATAAATAACATTGCAGAGGAGCCAACAGCTCGCTTTCTCCTTGTTACTGGGGTTCAGGGTCCCGACAGGTCACAGGTCTTGAAGGCAGGCCCGTCCCAGCTCTCTAAGGGGTCCTGACAGCTATGCACTCCTCCCTCCCCCAGGAGCCCCCACACCCTAGATGGTCAGCTCCTGCGTCCAAGAGCCCTTGGGCCTCAGTCACTTCTCCATCCTGGCTCCCTTCCTGGACCAGCTGCCCAAAGCCCTGTTTCCTCTCCTCTGCATACAGGAGCCACGTCACCAGCTGGCCAGAGTCCACACCGGCCACGCCATTGAGGGCCAACGAGCTGGGAATTTGAGCTCATCCCCAGCTGGGTCTGGTTGGTTTGGTGGCCAAAGGGAAAACCCAGGACCTCCTGAGACTCTGGGTGGAGGCGGCTTGATCCCAGCCCCAGGTGCCAGCTGATGCCAGCCTGTCTACTTGACAGAAAAACACACGCTGGCCACCTACCCCGGGGTATTTCCAGAAGAGAAATTTAATCTAATTTACATACTTCTAGGTACATTGATAACCAAAATGTGGCCACTGAAAAAAGTTAAAAGATTGATCAGCTCCCAGTTTCTAGCTGGCCCAGGATCGCAAAATAAAAAGATCCACGTTCCTTATTCTCTACACAAAATGCGTTTTTAAAAAAGTGAAAGGTCTAGGGAGCTGTACATAGACAGGAACAGTGAAAAGAGGGAGGGGGTAGGAGTGGGGAGGAGAGTCCCACCCCCACCCCTTCCAGGGCCCAGAGCCCCCAGAGGTTCTGGGGGGCCTGGACATGGCAGGAGGCAGCTGTCAGCTCTGAGCTCTTCCCAGCTGGGAAGGTCCCTCTGGGGGAGGGGGCGGCCAACAAGGATTTCCGTGGCATTGTGGGCTCAGTGGGGGCTCCCAGGCCTCAGTGGGCCCGCAGAGGGAGCGTACCTTCCCCTGAGCAAGCACCGTGGCGTGATGTGTTCGTTTGACTCGGGAACTGGGGGGCTGGGGCAGATCCCGGTCTCACGAAGTGTGTGTGCGTGTGCGTGTGCGTGTGCGTGTGCGTGTGTGTGTGTGTGTTAGCATATGCGTGTGTGTGAGAGGATATTCACGGGGCAAGAGGAAACCAGGACAGGGGGTCTTTGGAGTCCTTGTAAGTGGCCACAGATGGCAAACAAAGCCCCACCTGGCTGCTAGACATTGGGGAGTGCTGGCCTTCCTCCCATGACCAGATCACCTGCCACCAGGGACCTGGCCGCTGCCCTGGCTGGATTGGGTAGGTGTGGCCTGAAGGAACACACCCTGGGTTTGGCCCCAGAGTCCTTGAGCTGGGGGAGGGGTGCCCTGGCTGTAGTGTGCCCGGCCCCCAAGGGTGCCGGTTTGAGGTTTTGGCTTGCTCCTTTGGGAACGGAAAAGAGAGGAGGAGGAGAGAGAGGAGGAGACCAAGGAGTAGGAGACAGAGGTGGCACGGAGAGATCTGGAATGCTTTTGTGTTAGGGTGCCTCTGCCGCCGCTGTCTGTGCTGGAGGGGCCTGGGGCTCCTCAGGCGGGGGGTCTGCTTTGGAGAAATTCATCTCCAGGATGTGCCGCTGTAAGTGCCGCACCCACTCCTCCTGGATGGAGAGAGGTCCCTGGAATTCCACCTCACAGAACCTGTGTGGGGACAGAGAGAGGGAGGAGTGGCCAGTGCCCTGGTTACACCCTGAGTGTCCAGTGTGGTGCTCAGTGTGGACAGAACCAGACCAGGATTTGAGGGAAGGGAGCCCAGACGCCAGATGTTCCCCAATGGACAACTATCTACCCATCATGGGGTACTGGCCAGGTCCCCCGGAGCCCCATTTCTACACTCAGGGCAGTCTGCTGGCTCAGGTGCTGGGTATGGGTCATCTGGCTTTCCAAGCACTTCCACCATCTGACTATAGGCATGTGCCCTGATTGGAGAGAGCAGAGAAACAGATCCTGCCCTGCCAAGCTCAGGAGGGAAGGATAAAGCTAGGGAAAGGAGGATCAGACACTAACAAGTACCTACCCTGCTCATGCACCCTTCACCAGCTCCCAGCCCTCACAGCCCTAAGGAAGGTCTCACAGCACGTGGGCTCCAAACTCAGTCTAGTGGCTGGAGAGACGTAGGTCTGAATCTTACTTCTGACTTGGCCTCTGTGGCCTGAGGAGGCCCTCTCACATCCCAGACTCTCAGTTTCCTGGCCTCTGACACTCACCTAGACTTCAGTATTAATAAACTAAAACCTATTTTTTTTTCTTAATCAGGAAGACACTTTTTGAGAATTTACTGTGTTCTAGGCACAGACTGAGTCCTTTATACACATTCAACTCTTAATCCTCATAACAAATCAATCAGGTAGGTCTGCTATTAATCCCGTATTATAGGTGGGAATATCGAGGCATGGAGCAGAAAGTCCTCGCCCAAGGTCACTAAGCTGCTAGGTGTCAGGGTCCCAGCCTCATGCTCTGAGGTATCTCTGTCCGTGAGGAGCCTTTAGCCTGGACCCCGCCCACCCCAAGGAACTGTTGCGGTTCCCGTTCCCAGCCCTGAGTAGCCCCTGTCCTGTTTAGAGGCTCTGGCTGGCCAAACCCCAGGCAGGTAGCCTCCCACCTCCCTTCCCTCTCCCAGGGCCTCATACCTGCACTTGAGGGTATAGATGTTGCCGACGAACTTAACCAGTGATGTCTGGGGGGGACGAGGCACCAAGGAGGGGACTGGCCGGACCCGGGGTGGGGGTTGCCGCACCTCCTCCAGCTTCTGCTGCAGGTCATTGGCCTCCTCACCCCCCCTGGCCGCAGAGGAATCTGCAGGGCGGGCTTGTCGGCGCTCAAATTCTGAAGAGGGGGAGGAGAGGGATGGGAAATAAGCTGGAGGACGAGGACCTTGGAGAGGTTCCTCCTTCAGCAAGTGATGGGCGATTACTGTGGGGACCTGGAAGACGGGCAGCTGGTGCCTGGATGCTGCTGGGCCCTGGTGACAGGTGGGATGGTGGATGGATAAATGAATGGGTGAGCAAGTGAGGAAGTGATTCCAAGACAGATGCACAGCAGAAAACCTGGGGGAACAGTGGGTGCACCCTGCTGGTGTCCATTGCCCTCATGACCCTCTGCCCCCAACACTCACTGTTGATGTTCTGCCGCTGGTGCTCCTCGGCTTTCACAGTGCCCGGTGGGCTGGCTGCCAAAGGCCGCTCACCACTGTCGGCTGCCCGGCCAGCCTCCGGCCCTGGCTCACCCCCAGCACTGCGGCCCACCATGGACAGGCCCCCAGGTGCCAGCCCCAGGTGTGGCCGCTTGTCGCCCTCACGGCCGTGGCCAGCGTTTCGGAACTTCTTGGTGAAGGGGCGGCCACCCTGGATGTAGCTGCGGTAGGCGCCCACCTTCTGGGGCCGGTGCTTGATCCACTCGCTCAGCGTCTCAATGGGTGAGCCATTCACGCACCACTCAGTCACACCGAACTGCCGCAGATGCGCCCGAGCATGGCTGGCCAGGGCCTTGCGGTTTTCGAAGTAAAGGCCACACAGCTCACAGCAGGCCTCGGTGGCTGCAGACAGAGGGGGCGCTGCTGAGCCCCAGAACCAAGGGAGCAAGGGTACCCAGAAGTTGCCGCCCAAGTCGGGAGACAACCCCGCCTCCCACTGGGGCCTTGACCCCTGTTGGGGGTGGGCATGCGTGTGGCAGTGCCCGGCCATGCAGGCCCTGGCAGATGCCCTCCCAAGACCCTGCCACCCGCTGCTTACAGGAGTGGGAGGTCTTCTCGTGAAGGGTCTTTGCCTTGAAGGGCAGTTCAGTCTGGATGTAGGTCTTGGCCTTGACCTCTGCAGAGAGGAAGCGATCCTCCTGCAGGGGTCGCTTGGCTGCCACTGAGCCCAGGTAGCTGGTGGCTGAGGGCTTGGCACCGGTGAGGGGTGCCAGGTTGAGCTCACGGGGTACCTGGGCCAGCCCAGCTCCTGGTTTGCCTGGCCGGCCAGCCATTGGCACCAGCGGCAGGAGGGGCTGTATAGACCCAGGAACCACTGTAGGGGGCCCATCATCAACCAAGGCAGGGGCCAGGTCTCCAGCTGGAGGCTCCTTCTTGATGAGGCACAGCTTAGACTTCTTCTTAAGGATCTCCCGAAGCGTGTCGATGGGCGAGCCATTGACGGACCACTCAGTCACACCCATCTGCCGCAGGTGGGAGCGCGCGTGGCTGGACAGGCCTTTTCGGTTCTCAAAGAACTCACCGCAGAACTCACAGCGGATGTCACGCACTGGCTCTGCCCGTGATGCTGAATGGGGTTGGGGAAGAGAGGAAAGAGAGAGGTGGCTACTGGCAGAAAGCCTTAAGCTCAAGGCCAGTGTTAATTGCCCTGCTGACCCGTCCATGCAGTCCCAGACCCGAAGGACCTGCTCCCTCATCTTCCTCCAGGGGCCTTGGTGTACATCTAGTCCTTCTGCTTGTTCTGTCACTTCAAAGTCTAGCTGGCTTCCAGAAGACTCCCTGGGACATGGTGATATGTTAAGGAGCAAGCACTCCTTTGATCCGGGGTTCAGATGCCAGGGTGACTGTGACCCAATGTGATGCTTGGTAAGCAAGTTGCCCGCTGAGCCTGTTTCCTCCTCTGCAAAATGGAGATGAAAACTTCCACCTCCCAGTATTACTGGGATGTGGGATGGCCTAAGGCGGGAGCAGTTGAGAGCACGGGGCACCAAGCAGCGTGAAATCACTGTGCTAAGGCCTAGGGCTGGGCCATCCTCATCTGCTGGGCATGCAGTAAAAGCTCAGCCAATCTAACAGTGCGAGAAAGAAGTAAATGACAGGGGCATTACAACTACTGCACACACAGCTTTTTTAGCCTGACACCATGCTAAGCACTTTACATCACTGACGAAAACCATACAGACTGGGGACCATGCTGATATCTATCCTGCAAAAGAGGGAACTTGCCCAAGGTCATATATTGCTAGACTATGGGGCAGCAGAGAATCTAATCTGAACCTGACCCCCACTTAAGTGTCCACAAATGTCAGAGAGATAGTT